AAGTAAAATAATCATTAAGTGCTTCCAGTTATTAAAAACAAAACAGTGCTAACAACGGTGCCCACGAAAGTGCTAAGTGACTGAATACTAGTTCATAGCATCCCTGCTCCTGAACTCCAGGTGTACTCGGCTGATTCTGTTAGCTAGAACTCTGGTCCAGCTACAGGGCACCCCCAGTCCAGGAGATCCCAGGTCTGTCTTAGCAGTGCTCATAATCTTTGGAAGGAGTAAGAACTAGAATGGACTCTTATGAGATGGAAAACAAGGCAAAGCTGAGAAGAAACAATCTGCTCCCAAGATACTCAGAGGTTTCTGCTATTCACTCAGTTAATACATCAGTGCACGCACACACACGTATACATATTTAGTTAATATATCAAAATGACTTGGAAACAAATATTCTAGTCTTCTAATATTTCAAAGTAAAATTTTAAACTTTATCAAACTTCTTGTTGTGTATTATACTTTAAAGATTTAAGTTAAAACTAAAAGATTCGAGAAGAGACACAGTATGTTTGATTGTACCTCTCATGCATCCTCTTGTTAAAGGTTTCATTTAAATTATGTTAACACCAGCTTGGACTCCCTGGTTTCTATAGAGAGCTTATTATCTCCCAAAACAGATTTCCGGGCTTCTATCTGGATTCTTTCACATTCCTCAGTGGTGAACAAAAGCTGGGGGAGTTTGTTGACAATCCTCTCAGGTATGCTGATGAGTAGTTAAATCCGGAGCTTGGGGCAACGCACCCTCTGTAGCTGCAATACCTGCTGAAGGGGTTTGGTAAGGCGGGGAAAAGGAGCTCTTCCTCTGTTTCCCCCTGGAATACTGGGTGGGTCGGCGCCAAAGGTTTAATTTCAGGTTCCTTCTTCCGGGCAGTATAAGGTTGCACTGCTAGGACCGGTTTAGGTGCCTGCTTAGGAAAAAAAAGAGGTAGCAATGGCTTTAACCACTAAATCTTACTATGTGATAATATATGACCTCTGATCTGGGTGTCCCCAGCTAGACCGGAACACAATTTCTTTCAATCTTAAAATAATTTGAAGATAGAACATTCCTTCGGCTGGCTATCCTAGTTGAATGTGGGCTATTCTGAGCTACACAATGCTACAAATTTTTTCTTTTTTGTTTTTTTCTTTCCACATTTAAATTCTGTGCTCTTTGCTTAACTTCTTTAAAGTTACCAGTCAAAAGGGAAGGGGGAGTCATCATAGTCATAGTCTGTTCCATTTCGTCGGTCCACCAAATCACAAACACTGACAAACAACAAATAGATTCACAAAAGGACGAACAAAGACTGCTTCCCACAAATTGGAAGCAAAACTGAAAGCGGGACGACGGCCTCACGCCAAGCCGCGGGAGCGACTTGCTTTGTCCCTATACCAATTCAGAATTCCAGATTGGAGGGCTTCCACTTCCTCTTTTCTTGAAGAGGTCCTGGGACGTTTCCCAGATCCTCCGGCTGACGGCCTGCTCGTGCGTCCCCTTAGGCTAAAGTTAGCTTTACAGAAAACGGGCCCCAGGTATCACACAAAGGACTTAAACAAACAACAAACATTTAAACACTTACCAGCTGGTTGCAACCCCCTGGTTCGGGAGTCCTGGGGTATTTGGGGATCCCGGGACCTCTTGCACCCCAAGCGAGAATCATACCCTTAGACCAACGAGCCACCTTCTAGATCTATCAGATCGGGGTGAGTTTTGGGAATCAGACAGAACTGGTGGAACGGCTTCCCAGGACTTGGGTCATCTCGGTTTCCCCTTCTCACTAGTCCCGAGTGAGGATGTTAATACCTTGACAGAGAGATTCGGAAGAAAAAGTTTTAGCCATGGGGGAGGGGTAGTCACCATATCTTGCTACACTAAAATGTAAGGAAATTGGTCCGGGTGCCCATGGGGGCCTGGAACTTGGACTCAGTC